TTCATGGGGTCACGAAGAGTCGGACACGACTTAATGACTAAACAACAACATGCTGAAAGAAACCACATTATGGCTTATCTTAACCACTTGATTCCCATAATGGGCTAACTCAATGCATTCCCATTAGAGGCTGAACCTCAAATTACCCAACCCCATTTTAGCCTAGACTATTGTATTATCCACCCATGTGCCACTCCTGGAGTACTAAAGAATAACCTTGGCCCACTGTGGCTTATTATGTGAGGCTGTGAAGTGGAGAACACAGTTTCAACAATGAGCCCATTGAAAATCTCCTTCCAGCCCCCCATTTTAGCCTTGCTTCACCTCAGGGCACCGAGTGTTGGTGCAACTAGTTCTTCCTATTTTCAACAGAAGCCAGGTGTGCAAGCTAATTGCCTGGCCATGTGACAATCACACTCCCCTGTCTGGGCAATGTTTCCAATTCAAAAGGAGATGAACAAAGAGAAGGGAAACAACACAAAACAAAACCACCCAGATTCTTAATAATGGATCAGACCATGTTAAATTACTGCCTTTTTAGACTTGCTTGAACCTAACATCAGGAATTATTAGGACTAATCTAGAAGCCATGAAATACTTACATTTATGTCATTTTGCTTGGTCTAACAAAAGTCATGACTGATAATACTTGCACCTGGGATTTATACCCCATCCTATTGCCAACAGATGTCATATAGCATGGCTTAAACATACACAATTAACGGGTGGCTTAAACAATGCAATTAAAATATAGTGTCAGAAACATAATTCAAAGCACATTAGCCACACAGCCTTTAAAAGAAAACACTTGACATCCTCAAAAATTTATTGCCAAAACCTGCTTGTGCATCCAAAGACCGCTTAAATTGTTGTTGTTCAGTCATTAAGTCGTGTCTGACTCTTCATGACCCCATGAACCATATAACGCCAGTGTCCTTCACTGCCTCCCTGAGTTTCCTCAGTTTCACACTCATTGCTTCAGTGATCCAATCTAACCATCTCATCCTCTGCCGTCCTCTTCTCCTTTTGCCTTCAATCTTTCCCAGCATCAGGGTCTTTTCCAAAGAGTCTTCTCTTCG